CATTCTAAGGTTCTTGTATTTCAATGGTAGGCTTCTCTTTATTCATACTTGACCACATTTACTGCACTATTAGGACTGCATAATATGATATTGCAAATACAATATCATTTACAATATTAGAGGGAATTAAACAAGATAATTGTATATATGAAATGGATAATAGTTTCATTATTTCAGATCATTTCTTATTTAGTCTGTAGAATACCATTTGTAGACCTGGACTTCTGTGCCATTTACTTTCACATATTTTGCCTTTATGTGTTGTGATTTCCATCACATCTTTATTAATTATGCAGCTCTACACTACATCTCACACTACAGCTGTAGTTATTATATCCTTTTTTTAAATTAGGATTTGGCATTTAAAAAACATATTATAAATTGTAAAATGACAGAATAAAACAAGTGATGTGTCTACTTGAGGCCCTTTGTCACAATTAGTCTGATTTCCTCTGTCATTTTCTTATCTTTTCTCTATCATTAACCATCTGATGACCCCTCACATTTATCTTGGGACCTTTTAGAGTAGTGGGAGTCCGAGTTAGTAGACCACCCAGATTGACTACATAATTATATAAAGAAGTTTAAAAAGAGCTCCACATTAAGAGGCCAACATACTGATGCTTAAGTATTATGATCTACTAATGACAGATATAATAATACACATCAGGAACAGTGGCTTATTCTTTGCAAAAACAATATGATCGTTTTCATTTGGGCACATTTTTCTGTAAAATAGGTATTTGGGAAATGATGGAATTGGTAATTTAATTTAAGTAAAAGATGCGAGTACTTTTATCTCAACTAAATGCTTAGACACATTTTGTGGGATTAACATGTGCATCACAAGTTGATCATTGTCCCCAATTTCTAACTGAGGGTATAAATAAATGCAATTTAGCCCTGGATGGGAACAGACAGAGCCACTTAGATAATATAACTAATAGTAGACCACAAGAGGAGTGGAAGACAGTAAGAGATAAAGATGGAGGAGGAGGAGTGCAGGAACATGGGATAATGTGTTCGAAGAAGCTCTCTAAACATGCCAGAACATGCAAAGAGGCGATTAATCACTTTTATTCCCTTTTTGCACTCGCCACCTGTTATTGTTTAGCAGGTTCACAGTGACCCGTAACCCAGAGTACCAGCACAAATAACCATGTGGGTTTTCAATGCGAGCTTAGACACAATGGCTCGCTCTCTATGCTTCTGGAGGAGGCTGCTGGTTAAAAACAGTGTCACGCTGTGTACCAGCATCTTGTCCAATTCAGGTTGGGTGTTCAAAACAACTGAAAACAGGATGTGTAGCACAACGTCAATCTAATCTAGGACCAACTATATATGTTCACGGGCAGAGGAGCTTATTTAGAGCATGCTTCACAGATTAATAATGAAGCATGTTGCCAATTTGATTTATGAGAACCTTTTAAACTTCTCCTCATGTAAACAGCTAGAATAGAGCTGTGACAGTTATTTTCTTCATTTGTGTTTGGAATTCGTTTATTGGTCTAGTTATGACGGCATTGAAAAGTTCTCAGATCCCATAGAAAGATCTCAATATGACTTGATGGTCCAATAAATCAGTCACTCAGTCTAAAATTAACAAGCCTTGAATATGAACATAAAACCGTTCCATTACACAATAATCAAATTATCAAATGTTTATCAAAACTGCTGGCATTAATTCTCTGTTTGTCGACTTATCATTTCAGGCCTCAGTTGGTTATTCATTTATCAAACAAAATGTGTATTGTATATCTACCGAAGCCCTGAAATGCCCATTAATAACTTCTGTTACAGGTTGAATTAAGAGATAAAGCTGATTGATACAAAGAATAGAGATGTAACCAGTCCGAAAACAGAAAATAATTAGCAACTATGTCGATAATTGATAAATAATAGAGATGTGTGGCTTTATCAATTTTTTATACGTTAAATTATGTGGATATCTTAGGTTTTTGTATTGAACAATAAGACATTTAATGAAATCACCCTGGACTTGGAGAAAATGGGATGAGCCTTCTTTCTTATTTTTTAACAATAGTGAAAAATAATTGCAGCCCTAATGAAAATGGATATTATCAAATGTTAGTGGATATAGTCACTCATGTGGTCATCTTGGTATTTTTTATATTAAACATTGTGCTATAGTCAAGTGATACTTGTTTTTTTAGGATATAGAAATATTGTCACATGATTAATAAACTGGACTCTTTATGACTGCTCTGTGATACTTTTAGGTGACAGAAACACCGAGATAGGAAAGGAAGAAGCCTCCTGTGTTGCAGCATTCAACTTAAAGCACATCAGGAGTCGCCATCCTGCATGACTCCAATTACATTCAAATCAAACACACACACACACATAAACAAAGTCGTGCTGCAGTTTGTGTGTGTAAGGTCGTCAAACAGGCACACACAAACACCCGGTGCTGCATTCTGACAGCTCTTTGGCTCAATGGCTTCGGATGGGTGGCAAACAGGATAATATGCGGCAATGAGTGACAGGCACGGCACCCCCCTCGTTCCTCCTACTTTAATACACACCACCAGCAGCTTTCCGCCTGCTGCTGCTTGAGGTTAATAGCGCGACTACTAGCCGATGTAGAAACCGCAGTCAAGAGAACAAAGTGAAAGCAGAAGGATTAATCGGTTATATAAAAAAATAAAAGCTTTAGTTGAAGCAGAGGAAGCGAGGGGTGTGGGTGTCGAAGAGGAAGGAGACAATGAATGGTTATTCGACCCATCCGTCCTCATTACTAGTAGTGATGGCATTCAGCACTGCAAAGCCTCTCCTGCCCCAAAAAACACTTCTCCCATTGCTCGGCTTTAATCTCGGTTTATAGCTGGCCAACACGCGCGCACATACACACACCATGCGCGCGCGCACACACACACACACACACACTGCACAATAACCGCGGCTAGCTGTAGTAGAGCTGCTAGCTAACATCATTGTATTGTCTCCTGCCGGTGTCTCTCTCTTAGTTTACCTCTCGCTAACGTTTTGAATCGAATTCGGACCTCAAACACGGGTAGTTTTTAGAAGACACCTTAAGCAACACAATGTTCTAATAAAAATCAAATAAGACCTGGATAAAGTGGATTAAAATGAACATCCGAGGCCCGCTAGCAGAACAAATGCATTACACTTACCGCTTTGCTTTCCCAGTTCGCGACGGAACGGAACTTCCGGTACTGGCCGCACACAAGCAGGGGGCGGGGCCAGGACGTCACCGCATAGCAACGCCCTACTGTAGCTACCATTGTGGTCTTTTTAATGGTTTTTATAATATGAACTTCGTTTATATTGTAAATATATAGGTTAAACATCTGCAAAATAATATATACTATTAATTAAGAACCATTTCCGAAGTTTAATTGTATCCTTATGTGACGGCTATGCAGCTACTACATTGGTAAATGAAAATTGACCAGGAAACAACACAAAGCCAACCACTATTCAAAATATAAATCAGACACTATTGAAAAAAATATTGAATAAATAATAGGCATGCATTGAAAACAGCAGTAATCTATTTATCACTTCCACATTTCTTCTTATTTTTATATATATATAATGACATCTGATCATCATGGTTGTGGAAACAACTGAATGACCAAGGGTAGAAATACGAGGCTCTTATTTGTTTGATTCTTAATTATTTGATTGAAAAAATGTACAATATGTAAAATGGCAAGAAATATTTGTGGTTTGTAACCTGTTTCTTATTGAACCTTTTAATTTTTTTTGTGATGTAGACTCACATTTAGTTATAGCTTGGTCATGTTTTTGTGACTACAACATGTTTAAAAAAAAATCGATGTAACATTTATTAATACATATGAATATAAATTCAATAATTTATAAATCAGTGATTATATAATTTTGCTCTATTTAAAAAAGAAAAGAAAATATAGAGCTCAAAGATCCTTTTTTAACATATGGTCTTTTCTAACACTGATCATACAATTTGCCATAAATGCACTAACAACCTGGTGCTGACTGCATGATGACACACTGCATTACTCAATGAAATCACACAACATAACATGACATAGCCCCTTGCTGGAAAAACAAAGGATAAACAAGTGTTTAGGTGATAAGATTGTTTTCAGGGAGTTGATGCCATTAAGCATTTGGGCAAATGTCACCATGGAAGTGACATGTTTGTACTATAAAGTGAATCACAGCTCGGACCTTTACTGCAGGAAGCCTTGGATTTGGTCCACGCCTACTTAATTAACTGTGTCAACGCACCATGCAGCTGCTGGAAATTCATCTCATCACAGAGATAAAATCAGAGGAAAGACAAACACAGAATTTTGGATTATGGAAGGAAACCCATTTAGCGTATGATCTAATCACATAACTGCTAGCTGGCCGATATTATCGGACAACTACTTAGTGGATGTGTTGGCCTGTCCAGAGTACTCAGTACTCAGATCTTTTACCAGTCAAAGTAAAAAATATTACTTCAACAATTAAAAGTCCTTCGTAGAAAGTAAAAGCATCAAAGTATATTAAAAGTACGAAAAGTAAAAACACTCATTATGCAGAATGGTCCATGTCAGACTTTTATAGATCATACTTTATTAGTTGATTAATATTTAGTGTTTAAAGTAACTAAAGCTTAAAATAAAATTAAGTAAAGTACAAAGTCAATTGGAAAAGAAGTGGACTAGAAGCCTAAAGTGGCATTAAATGGAAATAAGTAAAGTACAAACACTTAAGTTGTATTTAAGAAAAGTACTTGAGTAAATGTATTTGTTACATTTAACAGTGCTTAATGAACTCAAATAATCTTTTATTGACATTATATTAGTTTTTCGACACTTCCTGCTTTGTGTATCCAGAGTGGCTTAACATTTCTGACTGTGTAACACTGAATTCTTTAATTCCTGCAGATGTTTGAAATACCTTTCTTTACATGTTTACTTCTACCTGTGTGAATACAGCAACCAAAGTTTTTCACAAATCAAAAAAGTGCCAACACTTTGTTTATTTCCAGCCTTTTGTGTTTTATTTCATAGATGTGACCCGATTAAAGTGGTAAATATCTTTAGACATGAATACAGGTTAAACTGATAGCAACCGTTTTGCGTGTGAAATGTTTCATGCATTTATTATTAAGCTTTCTGCCCACATTAAGCTGTTTTATTGCCATAGAAAACAGAGCAACTACATGGCACTTCCCGGCACATCTGAAGCTCTGCGGTCAGATTTCAGTGCTCGATCCCTGTCGAGCTCAACCAACCTGCCGCCACGCAGCGCTGAAATCATCTTGAATTTCAACAATGACAGTCAGCAGACGCCACTGAAACATTTCTTCATCTTCCTCCTCCTCTTCTTTCTTCCCACTCTCTGAAGCTTCTTCAGGAAATGAAGTTGGTTTGTGGGATGACGCTCTCCACTTTGTGATCTGCAGGGTTGGCTGATGCCTCGTAGTTACAGATTGTCACTTCATGTCTGTGAGCCTGAAAAGCAAACAGAGAGAAAGACATGTTGACTTACAGCAAAGAAACATTCATAGATATACAAGTAGAGTTTCAGGTTAGGAAGGCTGGGCTAAGGAGGAGAACATAGCTGGTTGTTCCTTTATGTATTCGTTACAATGAAACTTAAGTCAAGTAACAATCTTGAAATTTGAAGTCTCGATTTGTTCTCTTTGGCAGTACCTATGGCAATATGAGGCAATTGTGCAAGTTTTTGGCTCTCACTTCCATAAGATCCAAACAGTGTGATGTCAGAGAGTTGACCCCTTTGGTTTTGTACTTGTTTTAGAAGTGTCATTGTCTATAGTCATTGCTCATTTTTTGGGTGTGTTTGGCCTAGGTAACAATTCAGTCAATATCAATCAATGTTTATTTATATAGCCCAATATCACAAATGTTACATTTGTCTCAGTGGACTTCACAGTTTGTACAGAATATCAGTATGACAATACGACACCCTCTGTCCTTAGACCCTCACATCGTACAAGGAAAAACTCCCAGAGAAAACCCACAGTTAAAAGGGGAAAATGGGAGAAACCTCAGGGAGAGCAACAGAGGAGGGATCCCTCTCCCAGGACGGACAGACGTCAGAGAGGAGGAAAAAAAAGGACGCTGCTTCACACACAAGTGAGCTAAAGAGCAAGTGTGTGCTGCAACTGCAAGGGCTGAACATGAGTAGACCATGGGCTAAATCACTGTGGTGTGTTAACCATTACAGCATAACAAAGTGACTCAACATGAGAATCTTCAAGACTAACTAACCAACCAACTAGCTTAATATCTAGCTAACTAACTAACTCACTTGCCAGCTAACTAACTAACTATCTGACATCTGACACACTTCCTTTTATTATGCTACTTATTTGACTGTGGTTGTGTATGTTTTATTTTAATTCACGCAGGCGCACCTCTTCATTTGATGTTATCCTACTTATTTTATTTTGCCTTTCATCTGCAGTGTGCCTTTGCTTTTAGAACACTTTCAGGCCCCGGCTCCACGAGGACAAATACGGCAAAACGCATCGGAGTAACGCAAATGCAACCGCAAAAAACCTTCCGTCCCCACGCAATATACACCGGATTGTGTCAAGCTCCACGAGACGGCTCCGTTTACATCCAAACGCTGGAAAAGCTGCAGTACATATGCCGAACCTGTACGTGGCGCTGTAACTTCCTCCACAAAAGCAGCAACTTCCTCCACAAAAGCAGCGAAGAAGAATGGTTGTCATGGCTGCACTTCTGTGTATTCTCCGCGGTGGGGTCCGACAGAACCGGGCAGAGTTTTTCGCCGGTCAGCGTGTGTTAAAGTTTAAATCTTCCGGACAAAATTATAAAAGTGCCGGTCAAAGGTCTTCATTGTTATTTATTGAGCTTTAAAACAAATGAATAACGACGATATAATGATATATAATCATAAAATACACGGAGCCTGTCTCTTTTTCCTCTCTTCTGACAGCGTCAGTGTCTGTCTCATGCAGTAGCTGATCCTGTAATGAGTGACCCGACAGTAAAAATGAACATATTTATAACTAGTTTAGGTAGTTTGAGAGGTAATTAAAATAGCTAAGGGTGATGATCTGACTTGAAGTGTGTGTTTTGCTCCCGCTGCATCACAGCGGCAGGAGCTGCGTGTCTCCGTCCTGTCAGATTAGACTTCACTCGCGTTTATGTCCATATCGAGATAAAGATAAATAATCTGAATTCAAGGAGGAGCTCCTGTAGATGTTGCACAAAGAACTGTAGCATGGTCAGTAGCGACTGGAGCACGATAGCAACCCTGCGGGGGAGAGGCGGGGAGAGGCGGGGCTATGAAAACGAATGACCGTATAGGCGACTCCACGGCCCCGTTGGACCCCCCCAGAGCGCTCCGTTCCCAGATCTATCCACCTTTGGACCCATTGTCGTTTGCGGGGTCTGTTTCTACGTTTCCCTTACGGCGTCGTCGAGCTTAGAGGGCTATACGCATGAGAAATATGCGGATTCAACCCGTTTTCGTCCCCGTGGAGCCGGGGCCTCAATTTCCCTGCTGTCGGAGAAGAACAGGATTTTGATTCTGATTCAGACTCTCCACCCAAATTCCTCCATATTGGGTTGTTGTGACCATATCAAATAAATATGTGACCTCTCTGAGTAGCTAAGACAACAAAGATACAGAGACCTAAAATGAAGCAGAAAATATTGTACCCACTGGACAAGCTGTTGTTTGTTGCTATCCTGAAATGTTGGGCAAAATGGTAACCCATGATGTAATCACGCAATAACATAAAAGATAATGGAGGACACTGTCATGTTTTGATAAAGTTACAGTCAACATGAACTCTATGGTGTTAATTTAAAAGAGGCACTTTGTGAACAGCTAACACAGCCGTCACAACAACAGCATCGCAAAAAATTGACGGACACACAGGGCTCTTTGTAGGCTGGAAGAGAAACTGGAGTAACACCAGAGAAATACCTAAACATTTTGGGAAAGAATCGGCAGCCCTGGGGATAAAAGAAGAGTCCAAATAATATCTTCTTTCAATGAAGTTATACAGAAAAACCAACCATAGAACAGTGGGAAAACACATTTCTCTGAACATAAAAGGCCATTTACACGACATATTAAAGTGCAGATTTCTACTGATACTCTCCGTCAACTAACTCAAAAAAGTGTGTTTGTCAGGTAAGTTGCCACCCTAAGTAGTACAGTGACAATGGAGTACCTAACACAACCCCACTTTTAAAAACATTAAACTGTCACTTAAATGTACTGGTCTTGAAAAGGGTAAGAGTTACTGCAGGGGGGGGGGGGGCACCAAATAATTGTTTGATAATGTTTTTAAAAGTTGCTGTTTTTTTAAACTTTAGATACAATATGTCTAAAGTTTAACAGTATGTCTAAAGTTCAACATTAAAATAAACATTACTGTAAAAACAGACCAAACCTGTTGATTAGAAAGATATGTTAAGGATAAACAAACATTTAATTTAGCTAAACTATGCTAAATCACTATAGCTTAGTATTGAATGCACTATAATAAGATATGTTTATACAAGGCATTTTACAAGACATAATTATACACGTTATTGTGAGCACTTTAAGGTATTTTTAGGATCAATAAGAGAATTACACCCTAAAACATGTCTTAGCATTTCTTTTTCAAGACTAACCTGTGAGAATTCTCCTCTCAGACCAATGTAGTACACCCTGGTGTTCTCCTCTCCAAAGTTCTTTGAGATGTGGATGGAGAGGTGCTGGACGTTGGAGAAACGAGCGATCCTGAACAAATAGAGACACTTTAGACAGACATTTGTAATGGGTTGCAAACTAAAAACTAAAAACATGTTCATACAGAGTGTTTGCGTTGGTGGGAGTTTGTGTTTAAATAGAACAGGAACACATATGAGGGAGGCAGACTGAGACAAACAGAAAGAAAACTGAGAAATGGTTCCACTTGTGCTTTAAACGCTTCATCGAACAGGATTCAGAAGATTGGATTTCACTGCATTGTCATGTCATCAAGCTCCTTATATACCAAGCTACATCCATTTCTTATCCCCATCTCATTTCATATTAATCAAGAGCAAAAGTTTTTAAATTCTCTTAAGGATTTCCTAGAAAGTTAAAAAAACTAAATTGTTTAACATTCAAGCCAATAAAGGGTATTGTCAACTGAGTATTTTAGAGAGTATTTCCTGAAATCAGTCTTTTGTCTTCAGGCATTGTCAACAGTGAGCTGGTTAGGCTAATCAGTGTCCAGCTAGCAGCCACAATGTAGGGAATGCTTACCAACATGACAACAACTAAAAGCAGCAGAAAACTAAAGAACAAGTCCACAGCAAATGTCCACACAATACCAAATAGAAGCTTAAAGTTGCTCAGGTGATTAAACATGGTTCCTGCTCTCACTTTGTCGGGTACTCCAGCTCCGCGGTGGGGTCTCTGTTGAGTCTGAAGGCTTGTTCAGGTTCTCTGCCAGTGTCGTCGAAGGACATCTGAGGGATGTTCTTGTACCTGGAGAGAAAAAGAATGTCATGAAATCACTGCCCTCTAGTGAGGGAAGATGGAGAGACATATTGACTGCAGATCTGAGTTCCTAGCAGGTTTTTATTTATTTTTATAAATAGGATTCAAAACTTAAAAGCATTTTGAATCAACACTTTTTTTTGGTATAATGGTGATAAACAAAATTGGGGCTGTTCTGGTGGCCCCAGTTCAAATCCAGATTGGTTCCACCTTGCCTCCCTAATAGATATGCCCCAACTATTTTCTCTCCAGTTAATATGAATTTGAATGAAAAAACAGAGATACAGGGTCCTACATTTTTATGTGGTAAGACTAGAACACTCATTTGTGCACCAGTTAATCCAATAATGAAATTCACAGTTCAAGACCAGATCAAATGTACGTTGAAGAGTCTTGAACATGTTGTCTTCAGTGATTGTGTGGTGTTGAATGTCTGTTTCCTTGTTTCTCATTTTAAATAAGGGTTGGTGTTTCAAATTAAGCAGCTTTGTTGCAAGAAAATTGTCGGAGGTGAGTGACAATAAAATATTATCGTACCTTATGCACCTCATATTTCATATTTTGTGACAGTCAAATTAACTAACATTATAAAGGTTTCATCTACTTCAATTCGTTTTCAGTTGAATTTTATTTGTCGAGTTACCTTGAGCAGTTTCAATTTGAGATTCTTTTGAGAGGGAGAGAAAGAAGGTCCTGTTTTTTGGTGCAGTGTTGGAGAAAATGTAAGTTATTTGATAGTTGATGTTCTATTATGAACATTTAATTTAATTGCAGTCCCTCATAAAAGACAGTTACATTAAAGTGTGTGTATCCTGCCGATTATAGTTCTTAGAAAGAAAGAAGGGCAATGGGTGCATCTCCCTGATCAAAGAAGCGGTGAACACTCACAGTCGAACCTCAGCTGGATGAGAGTCGTCATTTTCTCCAGAGATGATGATGCCTTTCAGCTTCACGCTGCCTGTAAAACTGGAAGAGATGACACATTCATATTCACTGCTATCTTTGACAAAAGAGATGCCTCAGGGCACAAAATAGAACGCTGTGAACGACAACAAGCTGTCACATGAAGATGAATGGTGGCTTAGGGAAAAATGAAAATGAAAATAACAACCACAAACATATTGGACATTACAGCAAATATCATAGAGTTCTTCTTATAATTTTTCGTGAGGAAGAACCTTGTTAGCAACTTACATAGACACTTTATGATAATAACAACTTATGTGCCATCTCAAAATACTTTCTTTTAAGAAATGATGATTTCAGGACTTACGGGATGTTAAACAGCAGCTCTTCATCTGCGTCACTCTCAACATACTAAAAGCAAAAAGAGAAAGAAGAGTAAATCTTTTTTTTACTGAAATACAACAGCAGTAAAACACACACTACATCAAGTAATTGTGATAACGGTTTTAGTGCCAAGAAGACGACAGTACAAGCAATCAGCAATGGGCAATATCCAACATCTGATAAACACACAATTTGTTATTAGTTAATAAAAACTGATCTGCAAAATTACCAACAATGAAAACAATTGTTACAAAAATCTTTTCAATTACTTTACGTGTCCTTCTGTCAACATTTGCCATATTGTGATATACCGGTTTATAAATATCTTAATTTTAAAACCATGTTTGATCGGATGATTTCTACTGTGGTGAACAACTACTGAGTTAAGTCACAGTACAACTATGTCAAAATACTGACATTTTCAAGTAAGATGCCTTAATTGAAAGTAAAAGTATAGATTGTAGAGCCGATGAATGGGAGTCGGAGGCGGTGTGTTCAGTATGGAACTCCACACTTTATTTTCCATTCGTTTACAGAAAGGTAGGAACATCTGCTACCTGCTACTGTCAAGCTAGAATTAATACAACAACACGGTACACTCTCTAACAGGTCCGTGGTGCAACACACAATATATACAACGGTGAATTATGTCCCATAAGATGTATGTTCAGCTGAGTGTATTTAAAGGATCAAAGTCAAAGTAGGTTTTCTGCAAAAAAAACACTCTGAATTTGTATTATATTACATGATAGGATTATGGTGATGCGTTATGGAAAGAGGGCTGCAACTAATTTGCATGTATACAATTATAACTGCCTGTCAATGGTTACTTTTGTATAATGTATACAAAAGTTACTAGACAGGCTAATAATGTAGCCTACTGGACTGGAGCAAAACGTTCAACATCTGAACAGCAGGTTAGCAGTTTAAAGTAATACACAAAACTACACTAAGTACGTTTTAAGTTACTTGCTTTCCCTTGATTTGAACTATTTTGTTTATTGTTATAATAGTAAACAACATGCCAGGCTCCAGCTGTAGCCTCATGTCATTCGACAGCCTGTGATATAAATAAAGTTGTTTTTGAACCTGTACGCAGCTTCACAGCGAGGCTCCGCAGCAAGAAGCCCAACCGGGCACACATTCAGGGAACAACCGTAAACCTCCCCTCGGTCTGTCCCGGACATAGACAGGATGACTGGCCGGGGTAGGGGCTCTGTGCGGCCGTTACCTTGTCCCGCTCGTGGCGCTGGTCCCACGGTTTGAACACCAGCTTCCCGTCCCCGTCTCTGCTCTCGTTCAGGCACTGCATCTTCTCCAGGTCGATTTTCTGGTACAGTCCGTACTCCAGGCCCCTCTCCGCGGGCTCATGTTCCCCCTCACACCCGCCGTGCCCGTGACCATGGCCATGACCGTGTCCGGACATCGTGGAGCTTAAACACGCTACTTTCCGTGATTATTTGGGACTAGGAGCAGTTTACTGCCAATGCGTGTTCAGTGTGTTTTCAGAAATGAACTGCGATAAGCAAGTTTCACTTTGCATCTTAAAGCAAACTGAAGGTGGTTCCGGTTCAGGAATTTCACAATAAAGCAAGCAGTTTTTGTCGAATGTGAATGGGCTGAGATCTAAACATTGAATTGCCTGGAATAATAACGAGACAAAGAAGCATTAGGAAATACAAGTCTCATCATAAGCCAAAATATCAACTATGGCTGGCTCTGTATGTCCTGTCAGCATTTATTTCTTTGTCATATTTTTATTTACAATTCACATTCAAATGTACTTCAATATGTAGACATTTTATTATTTACTGTTGTTCATCGGGGCTTTCAAAATATATTTTAATATAATTACATTTGATGTACACACATCTTTTCACACACGTGTGTGAACATAATATTCCTATCTAGACTTTACATTCATGTGTCAAGCTTTGTTGTCTTTCTTCCTAGTTGTGTGTGACTGGCAAAGCCGCTCAACTACTATTATTGTTAATTTCCGTGTAAATAGATTGAAAAAGAAGCCCTGGATCTCAGGCTTCCTCCAACAATGCACACTAAATATAAAACAACATATAAACACACATAAAATGTTAAGTAATATACAATTGTGGTAGCATGTTTTTGCAAATTATTAAACTTGACAGTAACACAGCCCTTCATTTAGATAGTTAGTCATTAGATTTCTTTTACCCGCACTAACGACTGTATCTATTTATTTATTTATTAAGGAACAGTGTTTCTTTGGAGATAATAGAATACAGTGTGGCCTCTTAACGTTGAACAGTGTATTTGATGAGCAGACAAATATTTTATTTTGAAGGGGAAAGGAAATATTTCTCTACAACATCGTAGCCCTTTCATCTGTGGAACAACAAACCACTAAACACAACGCATGTCTGTTCTTTGATTGGCTCGCATCTCTCACCACCAAACGTCGATACTGTCGTACTGTCGTAAAGTAAAACAAAAAACGCAAACCACAACATAGAAACATAGATATATATAAACCGATATAAACACATGAATGTTTATATATAGCTATAGAAACACCCTTCCCTGAAAATAGTCTGCATTAATTCAAATAAATGCAGCATATTTTGTGTAATTAAGTAAAAGTACAAACACATGCATCAAAAATATACCTAACGAACCAAAAGTAAAATTACCCATAATGGAGTGGACCATTTCAGAATAACTGTAATTGATATTATAATTATTTCATTACAATTATCAATGCATTAATAATCACTTTAATGTGGCAGAAGAAAATGGTTTTGCACAATTTAATTAATTGATATACTCCTGGGTAGCTTAATCTTTATTACTGTTTAAGAATTCATTAGTTAATATTTTTTATTCAAAATATTTAAATCTGCAAATTAACTTGCATAAATATGCAAATCTCAATTACTTGAAATGTTTTCAGAATTGTTTAATTTTAAAATATCAAAGATTTCATCAAATGTGAGGCAAAATAAGGTGAAAAGTAAAATAAAAGAAAGCATAAGTGTAAAAATTCTAAAATTACTCTACTTAGCAGGATAAACCTTTATGATAAGAGATATTTGAAACAATTGGGAAAACACAAGTATTAGGTTTAATTCGTAATAAATGCCGCATGATTTAAGGTTGTGAACAATATTATACAGTAATAATACAGCGTATCTCCTCTGCAGAAAAGAAGAAAGAAGATCATAAGAAAGCACAGGGGATGTGTGCTCAATAAATCACCTCGACAAAATGAAGGGCAAAAAGTCAATTTTAATAAAAATGACCATATAACATTTATTAAAATCTAATAAAATTACAATTTTTAATCTAATTCCATTCGGGCCCATGTTGTAGGGTACCAGGTCCCAGTGTTGAAAATAAATACATCTCATCATCATGTTGTAGAAACTGAAGCTGCAGACGTCCTATTACATAATTTCCCCATTGTTGTGTTTGCTTGATGTTCTTCTTCTCTCCTGCAGTCTCTTCAGCTCCCCCTCAAGCCATTTGTCACAGTGTGCATATATTAACAACAGGGACACACACATTCAACAGCAGGAAAACATGATCTGAAGCCACAGGAGGGTTAAAAATAAGTCTACAATGTGTTTGTGTGTGCGTGTGTGTAGTTGACTGATATCAGTAAAGCCCTACACAAAGAAACGTTTAAATATGCATCTGTTTGTTTGATTTTAAAAAGCAGGGTCTTTGACAAGCCAGTTTTTGTCTCGGCTGACGTGCACCATGCATGCAATTAAGATTAAAAAAATTCAACGGTATGTAGCCTAAAGTTTTTCCTCATGTAGTGTACCATTTGATCGTGATTAAAAACAGCTAATCTTAAAACATCAATGAATCAGTATTGTTTTCTGTCCCATGAAGAAAAGTTTGCTATTTTAGTTGAAGGAGAATGCTCATTTATATTTTGCCAAGAGTTACATAAGAAGATTATTCGACTCCTTCATCTTGTGTATGCTAAACTGTGAAGCTAAAGCCATTAGCTGGAAACGGGGAAAAACAGCTAGCATTTCAGCATTACCCTACCACCACATATGAAGCTATCTCAGTTTTTCAATATGTACAAAAATAGTAGTAGTTTCCAACTAACTTTGTTACCTTTGTAAAGATCAAGGCTAGCTGTGTCCCACCTGCTTCCAGTTAGACTGCTAAGCTAAGCGTCTCCTGGTTCTAGCTTCATATTTAACATACAGTCCTGAATGGTATCAATCTTTTTGTTTACTAGGAAAAATAGTCTTTCCCAAAAGGAGTGGAGCTATTCCTTTTTTTAAAGTTTGCTGGAAAACAAGAAAAAGTAACAGACTGTGTGTTTGCAAGTGCGTGTGTGTGCGTGTGTGTGTGTGTGTGTCCTTTGCGTCTTGTAAAAAGGGGTTGACTTCATTGTTTTTACACAGACCTCGACCGTCATTTCATTTAAAAAAACTAACCATGTTTCAAGCAATACTGAAAAGTTCCTATGATATGTTCGATGGGTAAAGATGATGGTGTGTGTATTTACTTATGTATGTGTGTGTGTGTTGGGATGAAGGGGTCTTCATTACAATTTTGCTCAACTTAAATAAAAAATTAAAAACACAGTTGGAATTGATAAAATACATTCAGTCTCTTTCACACTATCGGCGGGAGAATCGGTTCTTGAAAGCTTTGATAGTTTTGGCCATCATGGGGGCGATTTCTGCGAGAGGAAAAAGCGTTGGGAGATTTGAGAACAAATAGAAAAATAATGTAGTCCCTTTTAAAGATCCTAAACTCAAAGCCCTTTACACAAACACTTACTTTTGACCTGTGGCTTGTCCTTGGCGGCAGGTCCTCCTCCTCCTCCTCCTCCTCCTCCTCCTCCTCCTGCTCCTCCTCCACCTGCTGCTGCTGCTGCTGCTGAGGAGCGGGACGCGCCTGCAGAAGGGTTAAATTGGGAGGAAGAGGAGCGCATCGATTCTGCAGAGTAGTTTATGGTGGCTGGTCTTATTCTGAAAGGGAAGGGGAAAAGAGTTGGTCACGTTGCTGTATGTAAAACAAAAGACCAACTTTTTGGGTGGTCCTGAATTGATCGTTGGGTTAGGGGAGAGGGACCCCTCCTCTCTCGCTCTTCCTGAGGTTTCTACCTACTGATCATTTTCTTCCAATTAACTGATTTATAATTAAGTCCTTAACATGTAGAAAAACAGCAAATCCCCGCATAAAAAGCTAAGAAGAGAAAGTCTTTTTTATTTTTGCTTTGTAAATTACTTGAACAATTGATTAATTAAAAGTAATTTCCTGCTGATTGAGAAATCAGTTAATTAACTAACTGAGTACTTAATTGTATAAATATTTAAGAACTATATTATGCTTTTGGAAAAAAAAGATTTCTTTAACTGCATAGCTAATGAAGTGGGGTGGTGTTTGCGTCAAAATGTGAAGGGAGTTTGTTAAATGATCCATGTTGATACAGCAGAAAAACATGAAAAACAGTAATTTAATGTCCTGAAATTAAAATAAAAACTACATCAAAAAATGCTGTCTTTATAGTATTTAAAGAAATAGATGGATATCTATCAACATTGAGGATATGGAGAAAGAATGTGCTAGACATAATCCAACAAATTGGAATAATAGTAACACAGATTTACTTTAAAAATCATTGAACATGTTGACAGTGGGTAATTCCATAACTGAAGGAGGCCCATTGAAATTGTATGTAATGTTATTATAATTTCCGAATATTTTGTAGTCATTTTTTGAGTGGATTTGAAATATTTAAAATTGAACTCCCTGTGCATGCATAAATACAAGTCACATATATAAAAGTGATGCATCTGTATCTTATTCTATCTCAACACCAATATCATAAACCTGAATGAAAAATACGATACTGACTTTATGGGAGCGGCCGCTGAGGTGGAGGAGGCTGAAGAACCGCTGATGGTGCCGAACTTCTCCTGGCGGCGGCGGACGTCACGCGGCGGCTTGGCCACAGAATTCACAAACGCCATCTTTACCTGCCGCCCTGCCAGGACAAACACAACACCAGCACTGAAACACCAATACATTAACAAATACACTTCAACAATAAATGGTGATGTTTGTGTAGATATTAATGGAAGAAGGCTTTTGATTGGAAACTTGTTTTTAGATTAATTTATGATTCACTTACGATATTGTTAGTTCTAAAAAGTTATAATTTTCTATTGTCGTTTTATTAATCAATTAATTTAATTTTAAAAACATTTAATACATTATTCTGTTTTATTTTAATTGTATTTAACATTAACTTTATTGTTGTATAGCTTTAAAATGATATTCAGAGTTATTTTTTGGAGGAAATTAAGAATTAGCTTAATTTTATTTCATTGTCTCCGTACATTTGCTTTAAAGTGTTACTTTTTGACTTGTTTGTAACATTTTAGTTTAACGGTGTACTTTTTGATCTTTTTTTGGGCTTGTCAGTCATCTGTGAAGCACTTTGAACTGCATTAAACTGTCCTTTACAAATAAAATTAGATTTATTGATTGCTGCTCATTTTGTCCCAGAGCTTCTCCTACCTTTTGGCTTGTTGGCGTGGGCGGAGGAGATGTTCTGGGTGAGCATCCTGAGGCGCTCCTCACGCTCGTCGTGCAGCCTCAGGTACATCTCCCTCCACGACTCGTACTCCTGAGGAGACTCGCGCTTAAAGTCCCGCTGACAGTGACGCATCCACAGCTCGTCAGATTCCTCCGTAAACCACTGCAGCAGAGGAGAACAAAATCAATGCCAGAGCCATCAGTATTCTCAGAATCAGAATCTGTTTTATTGCCAAGTAAGTTTAAACATTCAAGGAGTTTGCTTTGTTATAAGCAAATGCTTAACACACATGTGATGAAAATAAACCAGGTCAGTTGTTAAATCTCAGCAGTCTCACTTAAAGGGGAAATTGGGAAAAGGATTAGATACATATATGTTGAGATGTGGCAATCTGTAGCTACACTTACCTTCAATTTCTTTAAAAAATACTAACACATTTAAGAATTGCTCATAGGCTGCATTGGTCTAAAGTAAAAAGATAGCCACAATTAATATGAATCCTAAATGTGATCTCTGTGGAATCCCTTTCATTAATTATATTATTGATACCCTTGTATAAATGTCCCTTCCCTTACCCGACATGAGTTTTTTGTGTGTATATATTATTTATGTTTTGTTAAATGTAACCTTATTTTAAATTGTGCTTTGTAATGTTTAAAATACAACAAAAGTGCTTTGAACAAAAATGTCAGGTGTCACTCAGTGTCTAGTCCACCCATAGAAAGAGCATAACACAATGGAAGGTATGATGTGGACAAAGGACATCAGTATTGAAAGTGTTCTGTGTGTTACCTGGTTGCTCTGCTCGATGCGGTACAGCTGCTCCGGAGTGCCTCGCTCCAGCACCGGCTCCAGGATCTCAAACGGCACTCCTCCAACCTCAGCGATGGCTGAAAGAGCACAGAAGCACGGAGTCACATCTGTGCAGCAGGGTCTGTTTGTTCTAACCAGCCACTTGTGTGATAAGGAACAATGCCACAACATCGGTTCTGATTTGTATAAAGTCTTGACTACTGCTACTTTGGGAAAGTATGTAATATTACAAATGTGATTATGTATTTAATGAAAAAACACTTCTATCAACAGTTACACTTTTTTTGAGAAAAAGACAAGATAGTGTTTTTTTATGGTATTGCAAAGTAAATATTTGTACATGTTACATTTTATTTACACTGCATATGTTTGTGATTTTCAACTTGTCCCCTAAGACAAATGTAAAATATGTGATATTGGGCTATATGAATAAACTTTGATTGATTTGGGAGAATCTTTTTATTTATTTAAATATGTCATAACAGGTTAATCTCAGGATTATGAAATATATTTAAAAAAAGAAAAAAAGACCCAATGTTTCTAAAACTGAAAAAGAAAATTGAGGTTAGGGTAAGAGAACTTTGTAACTAAAATGTTTGCGAGCAAAATTTGAATTGAGATGGGAAGTGACCGCAGAGGAGTACATATTGACTTTATCCAGTAATTGTGAAAAGACTTTCTGTTTATCTACCAGGTGGTGAGCCACACCTCTCTGGCACCTCTATAACAGTTTCACTATTTGTTCCAGAGCCTTACTATAGTAGTAACTCATGCATTCAAATGCAGTGCTTACTCGGGCATCAGCAGGTGCTCTAGTGCGACTCAGTGTTTTTCTAGCTTTGTTGCTCATGAACAAACAGGAACACTCACAGTCGATGTTGTTCTGCAGTACGCGGATGCACTGCTCATACAGAGTCATCATCCTGGGCAGGTAGGCGGTCTTTGATCCCGAGTAGACCGTCATCTTAGAGTTGAATCTCTTCCCTGTGAAGCCGGAATCCTCCTCATCGTTGCTGACAGGAACTGAGAGTAAAGAAGGGAGTGAGAGTCAGACAGTTTGACACAGCAGGGCAGCACGAACTCGTACAGATACAGTGACAAGAAGGAAAAAACAAGAAGGACAAGATTAGAATTGGCACAAAAGCCAAAATTCACTTGTATGAACATCAAGGTAACAATTACGTATTTGACACCCACATTCTTAGCGGTTGAGAAGCCTCCCCAACACCTCACCATATATAGAAAGCATGGGTTGCACATTTTTAAGTGTATTTTAGCTAACTGAGATTTGACCTAATGGGCTGTGGAGTAGTTTCAATGTGAAGCAACATCCAGAAAGTTTTGCGTTGTACAAGAAGTTACTTTTAAAGAAAGTATTGCTGATATCTAAAATGTCTGATTACTGTTTTGTTTAATTTGTAATTAATAAGCAATGCCTTGCGATCAATAAATTAAATAAAGTTGTAATTGAATATTCCGTGTCTGGGACTTCCTATGGTACTGCAACAGCCTTGGATATATTTATACATTATTTTCTCTTCCTTTACTTGCATATTTTCCACCAGTTGCCTTTAGTTAATTGTTATAAATGATTACGTTTCTTGTCTACAGTTCTATTTCATTGCTATTTTTGCTATATATTTATTTACATACTACAAACGTACTGTTATCGTTGTTATTTATACTACAAAACTATCACTTTATTCCTTTGTTTCACTTTATTTCCTATGTTTAGTCTTGGGTTGGGATTAAGATTGTAAAAACTGAAAATGCATTGTATAGTACCTTTCTATTTGTGAACACACTGTACATTTCTTAAATTAAGAAGAAACCCCGTCAACCATATAATTGCCCTAAAAATCCACTGTCCCTTGAAGAATATGGGGTCCTCTGATCCCTTTCCACAATTACAGAACCCAGAGGCCTGTACTACGAAGCCGGATTTTCGCTTAGCGAGCTAACTTCAGGGAAAACTCTGAGTTTCCGGTCCTACGACGCTGGTTCACTTCTTAGCGGGCTAGATCTCCATGGTAACTTATGCTGAACGGCTAACCTGCTCCGGAGCAGGTTAGCCGTTCAGCATAAGAGATCAACTCAGTGAAAGCACCGCCTGCTGACCAATCAGAGCTCAGTGTGCGGAGTTTAAAGCGATCAAGTCATATTACAGGAGAAAGGAAATACAGAAAAACTGCCGTTGCAGGAAAGACGGCCGGCAAAAATCAACTGACTGTGTGAACGTGAAAATGAATAGAATATCATCTCCCATCTTCAGAGCAATCAGACTATTATAACATTACCGTTAAGAAAGCTTACTTAAAGGGGACCTATCATGCAAAATTCACTTTTGTACGTCTTTTATACATGAATATGTGTCCCCGGTGTTCCAGGGAACTCACCAAGTGTCAGAAAACACAACCCTCTCTATTTTCCTCCATACCCAAATCTCTAAAAAAGGGGCTGCAACGGATCTGATACAGACTGATCCAGATTTGAACACTTCTATGACGTCACAGAAGTGGCGCTACGGCTATTGGGCCAGCTCTCCACCTATCAGGGGAATGTGGGGTTGGGCCACGGCCGGCCATTGCCGCTCGAAAGCGCTGGAGACGCTGTAGTACATAAGCCAGGCCTGTAAGTGGCGCTGTAGTCTGCCACAAAAGCAGCGAAGAAGACTTCCTGAGTCAGCTTCTTGAGCCGTATCTGGCGTGCAACACTCACAGTGTCACATACTGTATGCAGAAGTATTATTTTAAGCAACACATTAAGTTGACGAAACACTCGAGTCAAATGTAATTAAAGTCAGATCCACTCGTGTCTTGGACGGGGCAGTGATTTCATAAACCTGTTAATGTACGCATTCCAACACTTTTCTTTTACCAGCTGTATTCACCTTGCAGCTGCAGCTATGTGGCTTTTATCCTGGATAAAGTGTTTAAGTCATGGATGTTTAAAGTTTAACGTCTTCATATTTGTCTAATTATAGTTGACTTTTCATTCAGGAAGTATGACGCGCTGCGCTGTCAGTACGCTTGTCCATGTTTGTGATTGGTCGAATGCTCCAAATACCACCCCTTTCATGTGAACGCGCACCTAACTAGATAGGGCAAAGCTGGCTTAAGTTAACGAGTTGATAACCGGCGTCGTAGGACAGTTTAGCGAGAGCGCGTTTGTTTTGGATTTGGTAAACCGGGTAACTCAAACATATCCAGGTTATCTTGAACCGGCTTCGTAGTACAGGCCTCGGATTTCTTGTTTACATGACATTTAAGAAAGCTGGTTTCGGAGAAAGGGCACATTGTAACCCTGTTCCTTCCACAGAAGGTCACAATAAAGCATTGTCAGCATAAAAGAAAAAGAGGAAACTGTGGTAGAAATTCATGACCAAGTTTAAAAATAGATAATATGAGGATTAAGATCCATTAAGCTATGGAATGATGGTCCCCTTAATGGTTACGAAGAATGATGCTTCAAATAGCAGACACGAAGCGTTGAGGTGCGGGCGTTACCTTTCCGTCTCTGAGGCGACAGCGGAGTGACGTCGAGGGAGGGCAGAGGTCTGTAGTTGGGCTGGATGGCTGGCAGAGGGATCTCAGGGAGAGATGCAGGGATCTCAGCCGCCTGCAAACAAAAACAGATCAACATCAACAAGCAGGATCAGAAAACAACTTTTCAAAATAAAGTGGATAATAAATAAAAGCAAACGAAAATTAAGTTGGCAGAAAAAAAAGCAGTGATATGACATATTTGGGGACATATGCTTTTACCATACTACAACAATAATCCTTTTATATTAAAGTGTAAAATTTCGGAGGAAAATTTGATTATTCTCTGAGAATCTAAAAAAAAAGTTTTTGTCTAAGAAACACATGGCTTAACTTTGCAATACATGATGAAGACACACAGGAAGTGATGCGGTGCCACAGAAAGAAATGTGGCGATATCCTTCTTCTTTCCCGTGTGATGTAATTCCTAATGCACTAAAGCTCCTCATTCAAATCCATCGGTTGCTTCCTAATGAATAGGCTTAATGCACGGCATAACTTCTGCGTGCTTACGGTAATATGGTGATATTACATCTCGAGTATTTCCTCATTGCTAATCTTTCTGCAAAAGACTACTATGATTAAGTTGCCGCTAATTTATGTTTTTTTTCTCGAACATTTTCCCAACTTTTATCTCATGAATTCTCGATGTATTTTTTTTTATTTAAACCAACAATGATCCTTATATGTTTTTGTATATCCAAAAATCCTTCACAGTGAGATAAACCAACGCTGCTACAAAAAAAAACAGCGTTGATGTTGGGCTTAGTGCTTAATAAAGTATTTTCAACACAACATCATCTGCATCAAAACATGGAGGGTTTTCATTTAAAACTGGAGCAATTAGTCGACTAAATCGACTAATCAGTTGACAGAAAAACCTATCAACAACTATTTGAATGACAGTTAATTCTTTAAACAAACATTCTCAAGTTGATGGTGGCTCCAATGTAAATATGTGATGCTTATCTGTGGGCATACATCATAATAAGCTGATTATTTATTGTTAAGGACTGTTGTTCAAGTATTACATCACATCACATCACCTTGGGCTGCAGGAAGTTATAACAACATTCTGACAATTTATAGACCAAGGTGAATCCATTAATTGAACAAATGAACAGCAAAATAAATCAATGTTAAAAGAAATTATTGGTTGCATCCCTAATATTCGTAAACAAATATATCTTTAGTCTCTGCCGCTGTTCTTACCCTCTTGCGTTTTTCCGTTGAAGCCGAGCTGGAGCCTGAGTGTTGCCTCTTGCTGCTCTGCGTGCCGTTAGCTTTGCTCCCTTTGGATGAAGAGGAGGAAGAGGTGGGGGTGGGGGTGGGGGGAGGGGAGCGTGAGCGATGGGAGGACGACGTGGAGGAAGAGTGGGATGGTCGACTGTGTGAGGAGGAGGAGGATGATGAAGGCTTCTTCTTCTTCTTAACGGGCGTCGGGGCGTCATATGTGAGGAAAGACTCGAAGGACATGGTGGGAGTCTCAAAGTCATCGTCCTCCTGTTTGGGCGGAGTTTCCCTCGGCGCCCGCGGTTGCCCTGGAAACACAAGTGGAAAAGTTAGGGGATGCAGAATGGGATGGGAAATCAGGAACTTTAAATCCTGACATTTCTGCTTACTGAATAAATTATTTAAATCAACGCCAATTTAACATTACATGTCACTTGTTAGACGCTTTTATCCAAAGCGACTTACATACTCAATACTGTGGACAATCCCCACAGGAGCAATTTTGGGTGAAGTGTCTTGCCCAGGGACACAACGACATGCTGACTGCAGTGGGGTTTGAACCTGTGACCCCCTGATCCCAACACCTACGGACAACCCACTACGCCACACGCCCCACAGAACATAATTTCCTACCAAAAAAGCAAATCAGTTTAAAGGGGAGCTATTATGATCATTTTGTGCCTCCACACTTTAATGTTCAAAAAGGTCAGCTGCTGTGATTGGTCAACCGCTTAGAGATGTCCTGCCCTTTAGCCAATCACGTACAACGTGTTGAAGCGCTAGCCAATAGAAGCGAGGGTGTCAAATAGTGATCTTACTATGTTACGGAAGTAAACAAAGCAGACCAATGAATGGAGGCATCTTAAAAAAAATTATAATAAATCGGACAATTGTGTCAGGTGCTATAATATAGCACATGACACAATTGTCCGATTATATATTATATAGCAGCTATATAAATGAAGTGTATTATTATATAACATTTTCCAAAACTCAAAGATATTCAGTTTGTTCTGTAAGCCAATGAATAGCAGAAAATGTGAACATTTAAGAAGCTGTTCCCTAGGCTTAGTGATGGGAATTCCGGCTCTTTTTAGTGAGCCGGATCATTTGGCTCGGCTCACCAAGAAGAGCCGGCTCTTTCGGCTCCCAAACGGCTCTTCATTTTACCACACATACCTTTTACAATTCAGTCAAATGTAGCCCTGTTTTGACTAATGATTTATGTGTGTACACATATATCCCTTAAATTATTCAATACATCCTTTGTACTGAAGTATTCAAAAGTAAAAATTACATTTTTAATATAAATGATTTGCTGTGGCCAATTGTTTTCATTGCATTTACAGACCCTTGTATCTCTCTGATACCACCCCATGAATGCACTGACTTGCTTGTAGAACCACGCTACACAAAGCAGATAGCAACACCTATACAAACTTAAGCATAGACATTTAAAAAAAGGACAGCTACTGTATCGACATTAACAAAACAGCAGGGCTCTATTTCAGTATTAACTAAAGAAAAAAAGACAGCAACAGCTGACATCAAATCTTTGCTGAGCCAAAAGATAATCATAAATAAATAACATAGTGAAAACAAATATATTGCAATGCTCAAAACAGCAGCATCCAACAGTCTCTAATCCTTGGATATTACATGTCACTGCATGCATGCACGGAGCACCCGTAGCGCGGAGATCATCATATCTCTTTGAGCCGGCTGTATCCACTGCCAAGAAAGCGGGTTGACTCCCGAGTCCACGGAATGTTTCAAGCATTTCACCCCCTCCATCTCCCCCTTTCAACTCTTCATCTGTAATAAAGTTACTCTGGCCCAAAAGTGACCTTTGACAAAAGAAGCTGGAACCTGTACATTTTTTACAATTTGTAATTGTTTTAGCCGTACCTTAACACACACACACACATGCGCACACACACATCAATAAATTAGAAGAGGGTTACTTCCTGTCGGTAGTCACTTAACAAACAGATTGTATCTCAACTAGCAGTGCAGGATGTTGCACATTTTGTGGATGATGAAACAGAAACATGGTGCAGAGTTACACATCTTATCATCTGATAAAAAAGTATCATTATCGAATATAACAATTAAAGGTTTATGAAATGCAACTGCATTGTAAGCTTTGTGTAAACAATTCCCGCTCTGGAACACCAAAACAAAGCTGAATGTAACTCATCTCTGTTTTCTGGCTTTTCGTTATATTGCAGCAGGTGCTTTGAACCAAACCTTTCTACGACGAGGACGGGATTCGAACCCACGCGTGCAGAGCACAGTGGATTAGCAGTCCATCGCCTTCACCACCTCAACCTCAACATCTCTGTTTTCCCATCATGTACTTGTGTAATGTCAATGTATAAATACTGCATAATAAATGAATGTATTATGTTGTTATCTTTAAGGAGATATCTGGAACAAACTCCCAGAAAACAGCAGATCCACTGCATCTGAATGAATTTAAATCAAGGTTTATGACTTCTCTGTTTGAATGTCATTTTTGGTTTCTTTCTTTTGCACCATCACTGATTTTTTTTCTGTTTTACATAAAGCACTTTGAATTGCCTTTATGCTTATACTTCTATATATCAGGTTATATGCAGGAATCCTGAAGTCAAATTGTATACTGTATACCGATGTCCTGTTCAGATGACGTCCAATCCAACGGGATGCCATAAATAAACTACACAGAATCACACTACACACCTACGCAATGATTACATTCAGGCAAACTGTAGAATACAACCTCTTTGGACTATTTATATACTTATTGAAAACAAGCTACAAAATGTGATGCCTTGGAAAATGCCGTTTAATACTTTTTAATACTTTTTAATAGCCTTCATTTTCGCTAAATTCATTTATCAACTTTTAATACTTTTTAAGACCCCGCGGACACCCTGTATATCCAATCTATTCATGTAGGGGGAAAAAAAGCTTTTGCTATCACCGAGCTATCTCTGGTGTCACCATTAACCTCTTCTATCAAACACAACCTTCTCCATCAATCAGACTCACCCTCATCTCCTCCCTTCTTCTTCTCCTCCCTCTTCTCCTCCCTCTTGCCCTCCTGTGTGGTGGACTTCCTGCTGTGCTTTGCAGACTTCTGTACCGGACTCTGCTGTCGCTCTCTGTCGGCGCTGCGTTTCCTCCCTTCATCGGCTTCATCGGCTTCTCCTTCTCCTCCTCCTCCTCGATCACTACTCATCTCTGCATGGCGTTGCCGCCGCTCCTCGTCTCTGTCCCTGTTTCTGTCGCTGTGGGACCCGTGGTGGTGATTTTTGATTGGTTCTTTGTTTGGTTTGACGTGGCGGACATCTTTTCGGGGAGGAGGAGGAGGAGGACTCGGCTCATGCTCGGGCTCAGGTTCGTGCTCGGGGCTCTCGCACTCGTCTGACTGGTAGCCTCCCCGCCGTGGAGGGGTATACTGCTCCTGGTGGGGGGGAGAGGGCGAGTAGTTTGTGTGATAGCCTCTCTCTTCCTCTTCCTCCTCTTCCTCCTCCTCCTCCTCCTCCTCCTCTTCTTCCATGAAGGAGGGCGCTTCCTCCGGGGAGGGCTCCCGGGTGCGTCTGTGGCCTCCTGCTGCCTCCGGGACTTCAGAGTTATTGTGTGAGCGTGGAGCCTCGTTGATGTGGCTGTTGGTGGGTCTGAGGTAAAAACATACACAAGGGATAAAAACATATCATATTAATAATTAATTCTCCTTTAACTCCAGAGATGTATTAAAACTGGAACAATAAATCCCAACCTGGAAGTTGAAAGAAATGCATGCCGGGCAGAGAGACAATTAACAGAATACAAAAGCTTGAAAAAGTAACAACAAAAAACACAAATTCCTTTTCTATGTTTATTTTCCTTGTTAATTACCAAATTAATTGACATCCTTAGGCCTCTAATAGGTTTTAAAATGATCAGGAGCAAAACAATCTACTGATACACAAGACATTCTCACAATGCAGCCGCATGTTTTTATTTTTAAATCCAGCCCACAATTTTCAACTCATTTAGATTTTACAAAGTGTTTTATTTCACCCAAATGTGATTTGATCCTCAACACCTAACATTGTTTTATTTTTGGCATTGTGTACATTTTAAATGTTGTTGATTACCTTTTTTAATATCTGTACAGCTCTATGCTTTAAATCCCAATACTACATATATTGTATCATATTATACTGTATTTAGCTTTTGGTATATTTATATTTGATGTAAAGTGTTTACAATAGTTATATTAAAGCATGGACTTCTCCACTCCCTAATACCACTGTTTGTTTGTGCACTCTCAGGTATGCAGCACTCACCTGTCTGCAGACTGAGGAACCAGTTTCTTCCATTTGGCAACGAGACCTTTTGCCACCTCTCCAGCAAGTTGGTGTTTCCTAAAAGAATTCACAATCTTCCCCACTCCAGTTTCCTACAAGAGAAAGCAGAGGAAAGTCAAAACATGCACACAGATTTAATTATTTAACAACACAAGCAGTCAAATAAGTTGATAATACTTATATTTCCAGCTGTTATCATATCTTTGGCAACTTCAGCCGAGTGATCTGATTGGATTTCTGTAAATTGCGCTTGAAATTAAGTAGAAAGCTGACTAAGAAAATAATTGATCTCTCAAAATAACTTTCAACAAAAGGTCCAATTCTTGCATAGTACAAACGCTGTATTATTGCATTTTAGATGGAGATGTCAGTGATTATAGACGCTTAGGAGCTCCTTCCCAAACTGGTTATTTACTGTTCCTGTCTGCAAGACTGCAGCATCATATTTTTGGTGGGTCTTTTTTAGTTTAGAAATCAGGAGGCTCCTTACCACCAGTATGTCCACTGTCATGGGAAGTTCCCCCAGTCTTTTCAAAGTCTTCAGCAGCTGAAAAACAAGAAAGGATTTCAGTGGACACATTTAAAATACCAGAGCAGAGGTTCACACGTTGTGAGTAATACCAGTAGTGCCATTACATTTGTATTTTTTTCATTTAATCGTTTATTTGGCAGGGACATTGCACAGTAATGAACACTTAAAACATTCAAATGTGTCAAGCGTAACAGTGCCAGATTTAGCTTTGAGCTCATTATTATCTATTATTATTAAAGATAAATGTATTCTTCATTTACATTTTTTACAAAGAGTAAAGGTTAAGAGTGTTTTAATCTGGCTTTAGATATTCTAGTTTTTAAGCTTTAATTGTTGTTTATTGACATTGTTTTTCCATCCTTGGTGTTTATCTTGTTATATTGACTTATATTAATAGATGTGTTACATTTTGTCTTGTTATTGGTCATTATAAGCCTTGCCTATTTTGTGTGTGAAGCACTTTGGGATGCATATACTACTGTACCACTGTATATGTTGCATGAAAGGTGATATATAAATACATAAAGTCGACTTAATTTACAATACCTATATTCTCTGAGTACCGGTAGTTGTAAAAGAACCATTCAAAACATGTTGCTTATTATTAGGGGTTGAAAATATGACCGTATATATTGTGATATAAATACCAATTAATATCTCTGGGTGTATGTTATCAATGATAAATCAATAAGCAGGACTGCTTAATGACAATACAATATGTTTATAGGATTTTGGCATTAATGTCATGACATTCTTACATTTATAAGGTTCATTAACTGGTTTATCCAAAAACAGACTGTCCCTATTTATCCATAAACACATTTTTAACAGCTAGGCGTGAAACTTTACAACCCCATCTGAAGGTCTTCCTCAGTGGATGGAGTTGGCTCAGTTGTCATGGACGACCACCTGTTATCAAACTGTTATTAAACTTCAATGGTAAGGGTCACATGGCAACAACTGAGCTATCTCCATGACAATAAAGCAAACTCCATCTGCTGCCAAATTAATGTGGATGAAAGCAACGAGAAGAGATTATTTTAACTTCAAACTTTCTCAATACATTTTCAGAAAATCTACTTAAAATATAAAACTAAATATGTTCATTTTTTTGTTAAACCTTATGTTACATTTGTATATGCTTGTTTTGCTATGTTAAGATCAAATAAATTAAATCAAAAAATCTACCCCCACCAAATGATATTGATATTTTGAAACACATTTGGCATTTGAATGTCTCCGTCACAGCTAAATAAGTGTATATATGTACAGTAAAAAGTTATTGTACATAGGTAACTTGCTTAGTTTTGTAAACTGACAAGTTTAATAATAATGTTTTTTTGGCAGAATATATTTGTCTATCTTTATTTGGTTTGGCTGTTGTAACTGTGACATGTTCCAATTGAATATAGCTATTTTATATCATACATAATAAGTGAATATATATAAGGTTCAGACTGATAAAACAATACATGTTAAGACCTTGGACTCTGAGAAAGTGTAATGGAGATCTTTCAATATTTTCTGAAATGTAATAGAAAAAACGATTCATTAACAAATGAATGGGCAGATTAATGAAGAGTTCAAGTAATAGTGATTTGCAGCCCAAATTCACATATGTATACATGGCATGCACGTCACAACCAGTTGTTCACGATTGAATTGCAACCTCTCTTCAGTGTGACTTAAGTAAAACAAAAAAACTCAGGTGTGGAATCCCTTTGTTCTCATTATGTGCTTTAAATAGAATCCAACCTAAAGAAACTACACCTGCTTTTTACCCGGAGGTTAGGGATCTCTTCCTGCCTGTAAGTGGCAGTGAAGTAAGAAAACTCAGTGTCTGACTGAACAGTAGCATGTAGCAGCCTGTATCCTCATGGAGACTTTATAACGTGGCCTAACGGGTCCGGGCTGTAGTCAAATCACTCAGCTGTGATTTCAACATTTTGAATAAATGAAATAATATGTTGCACAACACGGAGTATATCTTCTGTTTTCTAAATCTCACACACCATTACTGCTTTGTTTTGGGAGGTTACATTTGAGGATGAAAGTAAACAAAGGGGTGGTCGGACATTGTTAATTTTCCTTTATCCGCTTTTCATTTTACACATTTTAAGAGTTCGGTCCCAGTGCATTGATGTGCAGCTGTTGTATATCATGAACTAACATTTATCAGCTCACATTACAGGCCTGGAGTCGGTGTAACTGTCAGTACTTTCCGCACTAACGTTGGTTAGCTAGAAGGCTAACGGCTACTCTGGCCCCGAGTTTCTTCACAAGATAAATTACGTTGTGTCTGATGTTATTATTTTAATAACACATACATTGTCTATGAACGGTATTTAACTGAGATGACAACTGTTATTAGTAGCTCAAATGTAATCTTAAAGAAGTGAATTTTTACAAGTTAAAACCCCTTAATTGTCGTGACGTTTCACATGATGCCTTCACAGACTGTTGGAAATACTGCCATTCTATTCTATAGTGTCAACTTTTGATTATCTAATTAGATCTATTCAGCTAAGTATCGTTTTGACAGTTATCCTCACCATGCATTAAGTATGCAAAAATATCACGAGTTACATCCACATTCAATTAGATCAAGATTGAACTAAGACTTAGTTTTAAGTTAAATGTATGTTACTTCTGTAACACCAAGACTAAGTGTCTAAGTGTCTTTTTTTAAGGAAAGGAAGATATATAAAGACCTCCAATCACATGTTTATTGGATTGGTGAAAGATATACTGATGTACACTCATTGTCTTAGTTTCAAGCCAATTAAAACAACAAAGTCCTTTCTTCATTTTTTTTAAATCTGAGATTCATGTATATCTTTTCAAGTTATTTTTTTGACTGTTTGTTTTTTTAATCAGAACAATTCTACAGATCTTTAATAACAACACACATGTATACATTATAAATCTGACAAACATTTTTAATACATAGCGTATCATTATTTACCTAAGTCATTTGTGAGGGTTATATTCGGACAAGACTATCAAGTACCATTTGTATTTATAAAGGATAGGGGATGTGCAAATCCTAGGTTTTTAATAAACAATGAATTTATTTTAGTGCAAAAACAAGTCAGTGTATTATCAGATAGGGAGCTGATATTAGCCTATATATTTTTCTCTTAACCTGAAGTAACCTGAGACAAGCGTAAACTAATAATTAATGTTGTTTTATTACTTGATGTGAATGTTGATGCTTATACTTGAACCATCATGTTTATCATTCTTTTTTCGTTATTACTTCAGTTGATTTTTACTTTCTACTATCTAACTACTTAAATTATAAATAAAACAATTATTACAGAAAACGACTGTACTATGGAAATAGTATTTGCAGTTCCAACCCAAAAGAACAAGTGTTGCATTCTCTTTTACGGAAAAGATATTCAGAAGACGGAGCACGAAGGCGGCCCTCAAACGCAGCATTTAAAAAACGGTTGCGACTTTCGGAGAGCTACCGTGAGGCTCAGATTTAGGGAACCGGGACAAAGTGTCTCATTTAGGGACGCATTCGGTGCTAAACACACCATGTGTCCGTCTAAACGTTACCTTTCGAGGCTCCGGGTTCTCCAGGAGCCGGGACTGAAGTCTATCCACTGTTTCCAGCAGGTCCTCCGCCATGTTTACTGCTGGTACCCTGTCGCCCGGAAACGACTTCATCTGAATGGGGAAAAAAACGGATCGGTTCCGCTAGTTTAGTGACAGCTACTAAGCTCAACAGACGCATAACAATTACAATATATTATTTTTTACTAAAATATTATTAATAAATACATTTACACTATACAAGTAAAGAAATATTCGGTGAAAAAACTAATGTTTTTATAAATTATTGATAAAAGTCGGAAGTACGTCACGGCACAGCTGACGCAGGACGCAGTGACACCTGTTGGTTTGACGTCAGTGAAAACGCTGAATCAGCATGTAGTGTAATTTACTGTATATCCTGTAACCACAGACTGTGTAAAAGAGCCTGTAACATCACATATTCTTTCAGAGAACTATTACTGTTGACCTCATAGCAGTATGGAGTAGTAGTATGAAGTAGCATAACATGGACATACACATTACTTTGAGTTATAAATTATAATTCCCTCAAAATATAATATAATATAGTACTCCAAAGTACTTCATTACATTCCATCACTGATTTGTAGAATTACTTTTTTTCAAAAATGATATATTATAGACTCAAATAGATGCATCCAAGCATAGTGTAAAGGAAATATAATTATTATAAATATAACTACAACAAAGTTCATTTACTTGTACAGTATAGCAAGTATTTGAAAGTAATACATTCTTTTAATGCATCAATAAAAAAAATCCAATAATACGAAATATACACTCATAAAGTAACAAAGATACATCGCAAGTAAAAATGGTTCAAAAGCAAGGAAATAATGGGTGCCAAAGTTCTTTAATTATATAACTGAGGTTATAGTTTCATATTATTATCAATTATATATATCTTTAAATCTTTAATGAATACATAACTAATGTTGTAGTTCCCTTAATCTGAAGCCAATTTAAAGTACTGTCTAGATAAATTGTAAAGTACTGCATCATTCAAGCATGCTATATCTAGTTAAAGTAGGAAATAAATATAGTGGAGGAAAATGTATATTTCCCTCTGAGATTAAATGAAGCAGAAGTATAAAGTATAGCAAAAAATGCCCACTTAAAAGACAAGGCCTTCTTTTACATGACATACTCTAAGTAAACATGTTTGGAATTATTTTATATACCTCTTAAATTAACTTTTGAATTCAGGCACTTTTTCCTGTAACACAGTATTTTTTACATTGTTCTATTTTAATCAAGCAAAGGGTCTGAATACCTTCACCAATGTAAATAGCTTTAGTAACTATAATTACAGTGACCCGGGTTCCACTTTAAATACTAGCTATATTAGATAACGAGTTTTAAACCTTAAAAGCAGATTATCTGTAAGATTGCCCCCTGTGTTTTTGACACCAAAGAAAACCTTTTTCAAAAGAACACAGACACACAACCAAATCTAAATCCTGAAACCACAAAGGCTATGAAGGGGTGAGGCGGGGTTGGCTGAGAGGAGGGACGGTCTCTAATGGGATATTTTTGGAGGGGAGGGCGACAAGGAGTGCCTGTATTTGGATGTGGAGGTGGGAACTGAAAGAAGAGAGCTCGGGGAGGCTTGGTTGGTTTTACAGGTCCTGGGCAGGGGGGCCTTCAATCCTACGTCACAGCTTTGGATGGGATCATGATTTCCTTCTGATACTGACACACACACACACACAGCACTGAGACAGAGGACGGACGGAAAAAGGAACCTGTTAGAGAACAACGAAGAAAAAAGAAATAACGTAAAAGAAAGCTGGAAGAAGAGAAGCAGAGAAAGCAAAAGGAAGGGAAGAAACGCAAGAACCAGGAGGGAGAAAGAGGTACAAAAAAATACATTTACATTACAGCTTGTTGAGCCAAAGTTTTGCATCATAAAATATCAGCTTTCCCTTGAAGGTAATCAAAATAAAAGCTTGGTTGACATTGGACAATTTCATTGCATTGAAATCACCTTTTAAGTAAATGTTCTAAAGTGCTTAATTGAAATGTTGAGGTACTTTACTTTACTTCATACTTCTTCTCCACTACATTTTAAAGGCAAGTATTGCAGTTTTTACTCCTCCTTACCTAACATCTTTAGTTCTTTTAGGATCATTTTTACCCATCCAACCAATAGTTAATATGTTCTGCACCACTGACATACAAATGGTGTTTCATAGTGTGCATACGCTTCAGAAGTCATATCTAATTCATATATGACATTATAACTTTAAGCTTGAAGTACACTTTGCTAGTAATACCTTTTTACTTTTTCTTCAGTCAAATCTTTAAATTGTATTTTTTGTATGAGTATTTTTCACAGTAAATAGTGGCAGTGCTTCATTTTTGTTTGAGAAAAATATACCATATTACTTAGTCTTCCAGCACTTAAAAAAACACACATAATATAAAAGAACACAGATGGAATGATGCGTTTGACATTATTGTAGATTTTTGTAAATGATACTGACATTTATATTTAACTGCTCAATGGAAACAATGTGAAGTAGTTGCCAGTTGCCGTGTGGATTCTGCTACATGGGGGTGTCAATCCTTGGCTGCAAAACACACACAAAATGCACACACACACAAAGTAAATGTTGAGTGTGTCAGCGCCTATAAATACTCTCATGAGATAGGCAAGGAATTCAGCTGCAGTTCTGAGCGTTAGAAGTGGAGAGGCATGCAGGGTGGTCTCTGTATGTGCAAAATAACAGAACCACTATAATACACAACGCTGTTGGTAATACCACTTCGATAAAGATCGTATTATTCAACCTGTCTGTTGTGTTGATTCAGTTTAACGGTCATTTTGAAGGACCTATTGAAAAAGCAACTAATAAGTTGCCTTCAACTCTACTTTTTAGTGTTTATTAGCTAATTGTTTTGATTTTACAGCAACTTGGTTTAATCTTATCGCTCTGAGGCCATCTTTTTTCGGATTGCATATAGAACGTAGCTTTTCTTAGGGAAAGAGCTCTCCAAATCCACGTTATACTATCTGCCCATCACCTTGTAGCATTTAGCGGGTAAAGACTCAGTGCTAAAACCCAGCAAATAGTTAGCATTTTAGCACAGTGTCTTTGAATTTTGGTTAGATTATTTATTTATTTATTTATTATTGTGATGCTATGAACTATTTATCGTGTAAATTGTAATGATCCACATCTGTGCTCCCGGGTGTATCTGTGTGTTTTCTTCTATGTTCCTGCCTGTGTACATGACATAAGCTGCTGCTCATAACCAATTGCCCCTTGCGGGATTAATAAAGTTGTTGATTGATTGAAATGCCTGAAGATAAGTCTTTGGTTGGCACAGGATTAAGAGATTTGAACCTTTTATTCTAGATCTTTAAAGACGTCAGTAAATACCAGAGTTTAGTGTTGGTGACGTTTAAGACATTTTGTGTAGTTTGTTTCTAGCCTAACATGAGCTTTTGACTTCTGGTGATTGTATGTAATGAACTAGTGGTGTTCATTGGTGAAGAATCATGACCTATATCATACATTGCAATAATACCAAATCCAATATAGAAATACCATTGGATTTTTGATGCGCGTGATGCTACTTTCCAGTTTGGCCTACAAAAGTATGTCAACAGTGCAGCGCTCAGGATTTGGTAGAGACAGAAAACAGAAGAAAAGAGTGAATATTGAACTCATCAGCGGGATGACTCGAACGCTAAGATGACCTTTTCTAACACACTTTTCTGTTTGCATAAAAAAAAACACCAATCACCCCCCACTGTAGTAATTACAAATGTATCTGCAGTTACAATACCAAATCTCAGTTTGCCAGTTAACAAACACAGAGGAAAATGTTTTTTTCCTACGCATAAAACAGCCAATAGTTAACTGGGGAAGTTCAATAGTGTCACATGACTTCAAATGTTAAAATCAAAACATGAGTTCACTGGATTGCAATCAGAGTAGGTTAAGGGTGTACATTCATGTTTATCAGAAACCAGAGGCTGCAAACTGAGGCTGATGTTTCCGCAGCACGTGTTATGATAAAGCCTCTTATGATGGCAGTCATTCAAACCAAGCTCTAGTTCTGTCTCGCTGGATGTTTGCATTTGATCATATCTTATACCTAAGCAAGTTGTTACCCACATTAGATTATGCATAGGCTTTCGCAACTTTGGGCTAATGTTTTTATGAATAATTTGGGAACTCCCATGAGTCTTAAATGGCAATTGAAAATCCCTTTAATACTTTAAAAACAGTATTGATAATCATCCAGCTGCCTGTCTGATATCTGATTCTATACTGACATCTATACCCTTTTTGAGTTCTCTTAAATATAATGTATATTGTTAACGACAGGAAGAATGAAAAGAAGACTTTATTTTAAAAGTCTGTTCGCCAATAGTTACACAAAAACATCCTGTAAATGGTTTCTATTGTAGGGGAAATAGTGGTAGAGTTCTCAACAGTTACTTTAGTTAGTGATTGATCTTTTCATGGTTCATTTATTACAGACTTTTTTTGTTCGATGATGTTTCTCATTAATAAAGCTATAACAATATCTTTGAATGTAACAAAAATAATAACATATCTACATATGCACATACATACAAGCACAAATAGCAGGTACCATCATGCAAATAAAATAAATCAAGAAAATGTAAATGAAAATGTGTGTATTCTTCACAGGGCTGTGTGCTAAATCTTACAGGCTCCTGTATACAAATTGCACATTTTTCATGGCTGTCCTACTTAAGTCACCACCAATTAGAAAATGTCTCTATTTAAGATATTATCCATGCAAAATTACAAATTACAAATTAAGCAAATGTAACATTTCAGGGACAGAATGGTGCAGGCATGTGTAGTTTAGATAATTATTTTTATTTTATACTACTCCTCAACATTAACTGATCAGCTGCAGTTACTGTGTTCTAGATACAAATTTGACTTGGAATACACTTTGTTAAATATTAAAATAATGGTTTAGAAAATCCAGTGTCATGTTTCAGCCTTTACATTTTTAACAGCAAAAAAAGTGATTTTACCCCTAACCTGTCAGATTTCAGAAAAAACGAAATCTATTAACATTCACAAGAAA